GAACAGAAAGTGAAAAAAGGAAAGCCACAAAGAGGAGATGCAGTGGGTGAACATCGCGGATGTGATTGTTAAGAGTCCTCCAGGATCCAGAGCAAGGGCACCGTAGACCCCTCCTGGGTTTGGAGAGGGTTAGGCATACTATTGAAGGGGAGGCGGGGCTTGGTGAGAATCGGGGAGCTCTGAGGCTTGCCGGCGAGGGTGTATTGATGAAGGTAGATGTTGCTCAAATGGCTCTGGGATGTGGCTCTGAAGAAATGAAATCTAGATACAGGTCAGGTGAACGTGATTGGCGGCTGGGATAGATGCTTGGTGAGCGAGTGAGAGCTTTGCTTGGTGAAGGGGCGAGCAGAGACTCTTGCGGCGGATGCTGGCTTGACACTGAAAGGCAAAGCTCGGCTGAGCGTTATCGGGATAGGGACGGCTGGGCAAAGGCTGACTGGTACAGGGAAGGGATGTGATCCCTTTATTTGGAAGGGGGCTTGTCAGTTGCACAGCATGTTCTCTGAACAGGCATATTAATGATGCTTTTAACCTGAAAACGAGGCTGCATTGACGTAGTTATACACACCTGCGTCAACCTGCGTGTTGACATCACAATTGGGGCTGTTCAGGACAGCAGTAAGGATATAGTTCCTTCCCTGAGGAAATTTGCTATGTAAGAATCAAGTTAGAATTTGGAATGACAGACGAAATCTCTTCTTGAAAGCCTGCAGTGCTGCTAGAGTCGATGAAAGGGCACAGCTGTACCTTCCTGTCCTGGAACCCTGGCTGTAGCGCACACGGTATGCATTACATCCATGTGCTTGAGCTTCCTTTCGCCAGTCCCATAGGAACCAGTGCCACAGAGTAGAACTCCTCCGTGTCTGCTCTGGCAAGGGTCCGTGGTGTTTGCAATACCGCTTCCTGTGCACCCCGGTTCACTAGAACCGCTCACTGGATGCTGCGTTAAGAAATTGCACAGGCAAGGAGAGCACCTGCTTTACCTCCCTTCCTGTGACCTGATCTCTTTCCCCTAACTCCAGCCCTAGTCATCTTCTCACCCATTGAGACTGCAGAGGCTCCTAAGGCACTGTGTTGCGGGCCCCCAGACTCACGTGCAGCTAATTGCCACGCTGAGGGACGTGATGAGCTTAAAGTGTAGGCGCCTGTCTGAGAGCAGGGAGAGGACCCAGCTCCCCACAAAAGCAAAGCAAAGGAAAACCGCGGAATGGAAGACGCTACAAAGCAAGCCCATTTGCGTCCTTGAGGGAGACAACACTGGGTTTGTCTTTGCTGTGACTGTTCCTAAATGGCTCAGGGTTGCCAGTAGAATGTCTGCTGATTGCTAGTGTAGTTTGGTGACATTGCGAACTGTATGAGAAGCCGGCGTGTTCTTGGGGTCCCCAGCCTGCCCTCCTAAAGCCCCGGGGCAGTGTTCCTGAGAGCCAGTGGCTGTTCTCTCCTTCCTGCGTGACTCCAGCTGAGAGCAAGCCTTTGGAAAGTGTGGGCTCATTCAGGAAGTGGTGTGGGCCTGGTGTACTTCATGGCCTTAGGACTCCTGGCCACAGCCCGAGCTGGGAGTGGCAGGGTAGAGTCCCTTCCCTTGTCCATAAGCACTGTGAGGGTACATTGGGTCTGTCCGAGAGGCTTTGTTCTGGATGGCTGCCTTGTAAACCCCTCCCCTCTCGCTTCCTCAGTCCTCTTCCCCGCCTGCATTTGCTGCCTGCCCCCCGATTGCGGTGGTTGCTTAGGCAGTGGGGCAGGGGGCGTTCTGCCCTTCCCTGCCTTGCCTCCCAGAGCTGCTCGTGGGTTTGAGCAGAACATTAGCCCAGCTCCTCCCTGTGGGCCGCGGCGGGGCTGGGTAGCTCCGGAGAGAGGCTCGGGCGCAGGCCAGGAAGCGCGGCCTGGCTGGGGATGGTCTGTGGAAAGATTTTCCAAGGGAAGCCGCGGTAGCCTATGCGAGTGGCTCCCCCCCCCA